AATCATACCGCCTACAGTATGAAAGACATCAATATAAACCAGTAGGGATGATTAGACCAAGAATAAAATAACACATTTTTACACTTATTTCACATTTTTGTCATTACTTCCTGTCAGGATATAACAATCATTCATAACAACATAATTTATTAATCATTAAAAATTGATGCATGAATGGACAGCTAGATTATCCAATTAAAAATAACGAATTCATTAGTCAACTAGCTCAGAGGTCTGGAACAATAGTACTTGGGATTCTCCAGCCAGGTTTTGCAAAAATCACACACAAACCTTTTTATAATTGTATTATAAATGTTACTGCCTGTAGCAGGAAGAACATTTTTTTGTGAGGAAACCTTATCAGTGACTTTTTAATGCTAAAATAGTTATATGTTGTATAGGGTTAATAGTTTCTGCACAGTGAGAGGCAATGAAAGCAGTGAAATATTTTTCTGGAGGGCATGTGTTGAACTAAAATAACCATAAAAGCTACTTGTTTGGATTTTCCATTATTCTAATTTTTAACACTTTGTTCATTTACAGCTCACATGTCTTCATGCAAAGCAATAACTTATCGACCACAAGGCAAAATGAATCATGTGAGGTCAAATGATCTTTGCCAATTTCATGACTCATCACACACACAACTCATCCATCTGGCCATGGAGCCTTACTGCTGACACAGCATTCCTCAACACAAACTGCCGCCTAGACAACAACATCAACTCCTGTCCAAGCAAAATGTAAGGAATCTATCTCTTTTCCAAAGGTTACGTTAGAGTGAAAAGGGTCATAAAGTTCTTATCGCGGGAGTGGTATCTGAAGCTCCAGTCGAGGCTGTTTACTGTTGCTATTTCCTTCTTTGTAGTGTAACACAGGCTTAATAGAAAACTACTACACTGGTATACAACTTCTAGTAAGTAAGAAACTCCTTCTAAATATCATCAAATTGTTTCATTTTAAAGCAAGTTTATTTTCTAATAAAATTTCAAAGTGTATTTTAGGATTTTTTTCATTACTACTACTACAGTGCATTACTACTTTCATCTGTTTTTATAGATTGCTACTTAATTTATCCTGAGGGAAATTCCCATATTGTAGCAGCACCATATAACCAATGAATGAAAACACATGAAAAAGAAAAACAGGCTAACATCGATAAACAATACAGAGAAGCAGAGATTACAGTTATTGACCTTTGTGTTTTATCACACTCTGCGTAACCGTTTCAGCTCTGAAACAAGTGACCTATTGTTTTATTGTAATTTAGTGTCAATACTCACATGTAGGAATATTTTATAATCCACATATGAATTCCACGAGCCTTCGTTCTGCATGCGGGGATCTTGGACCCGCACTGCAACAAACTCCTGAAGGAGAGAAACGAAGTCATAGTTTCATAAGTTTAAATTTAAAAATAAATAAATAAATAAAAAACTGCTGTGGTGTTTGTGCGCATGTGTTCCTGTGTGTTTTACTGTCTCATGGTTAAAATAACAGATCAAAATCTAAATAACTTGTTTTGGCACGACATATGCCTCTTCTACACAGATGACGTTTCTGAAATGCTTTTAAAACACATTGTTCTTTGGCATTTATGAACTGGAAGTTTGTTTTAAAGGAGGGTGGTGTATCCCTACAGAAAGTCTTTTGTAGGTTTCACCAACAAGTGGAGCTCATATTACAAATGAATCTTGTGATTGAATGTAGACAAAGAGAAAGCGGGAAGCTACTTACATCTTCTTCGTGATTGCTGTTCATCCTATCGAGTGCTGCACTGCATAAAAAAGGAGAAATGAATGAGGAGAGATTTCAATAAACTGGATCAAAAGCTCAAATTATGTACCTTTTCTACAGTGATGTCATGAGTTGATGACTCATCCTATTCAAGAGAAGCTGGTAAGATAAAATCAACTGAGTCACTTTCACAGGCATTTCCCTTTACCACAAAACAAGAGCAAAGTATCCAGACTCTTAAGAGCTTTTCCAAAGAGAAACAAGCACTCACTTCCCCTGGTCTTATAGCAGTTTGTTGAGTGTCTCTATAGCTTTGTGAAACTCCTTACATTAGCAGTTCATTAGTAGCATACTCTACAGCTTGTAGACCAAGCTGCCTCAAACCAATATCAGTGTAACTTACCCATCATTAATCTGGTGAAGCACATTTATCTGCATCTCTGCTTCCTCACTGACAGTGAGATTGCAAAAAAAAAAACCCTAATGCAATCTAATCCAATACCAACAATCAGCAATGGCATACTAGTAAAGGCTGGCATATGTCAGTAAGGGCGGCAACTAACAAATATTTTCTTTATTAAGTGATTTATGGACAGTTTATTTGAGCTGTAATATAATAAAATGTGCAAAATTATGCATTCAAAATGCTTTATTGTCTCACCAACAGTCCCTAAAGATATTCAAATCACAATGTTATAAAATAGAGAAAATAGTTAACACTAACATTTGCCTTATTCTCATCTAGCTACTGTTACTAATACTTGCAAATATGGATGGATTACCAAATGAGCCTTGTGGACACAGGCTTCTGATTGAAGCAACTGTTGTAAAGTCAACACAACTACAAAGATACACAAAACAACCAGAGAGACACAAAACGACCAAAGAGAGGCGTAAAAAACCGAAGAGAGTCAAATAATGGGTAGTGAGAGACATAAATGGTACCAAAGAAACACTAAACAGCTACAAAGACACGTAGAAACACCACAAAAAGATTTTAAAAAACAACCACAAAGAGACCTAGACATGGTTGCTTCATTTGTGGTCACTGCCTCTCTTTCAGACTTGGTTTCTTTCTCTTAATTAAGGGGGCGTGGGGAGGTTTTACTTTTTCGTGCCCAGGGGGGCTTCAATGTTTCATGAACCGTCCATTCTTGCAACAGTTATCTCTCCATTTAAACAGACAAAATATTCTGTTTATTGGGGGATGTCCTGCTGTGGAACAGTAGAAGTAACCGTCAGAAACATGGGGAATTTAACAGCTTGTGGATGATGTAATATATTTAGCCTCTTTATACTGTACAACGAAACTTAAGGTGAAAATAAAGTGCCACTAAGATCCTAAATTAAGAGACACGGCTGTCATATGGTGAAACCTAACGACTTTTTAAAGGGGAGTTAGTTAGTCTAGCTAAACAACCTGGCTAAAGGAAACGTGAGCTAAAGGCTAATATTAGTCGACAACTACTTACTCTCATAAGTGTGTTAGCTGCTGTGGTAATGTCCAGGCGGCTGTTGTCGATATCGTCCTGCCTGTCGATGTTTGTGTTTCACTTAAGAATAAAATCCTCAAACACAGACGCTTGTTGTTCCGACCTGCTCCTGGCTCCATTTCGCAAGTCACAAGCAGCGCCGCGACGTCACACAGTGACGTAGCGACTTCCGGAAGCGTGCGTTAGAGCGTAAGAGAGGGGCGTGGCTTTTAATTACAAAATAAATACCGGTAAATTAATTAATTAAAAAATATACATATTTATGATACACACACACACGTGTGTGTGTAAATAGTTATTTATGATTGCTGTATTACTGTACCTCACATTCCTATATTTACATATCTTTCATTTCATTTCATTCTTCCCTGTATACATATCTGTACATACAATACCTGTACTGTATAGATTCATTATTTCATTGTTCTCATCACCCATCTGGTACTTGTATTGGATAGCTACAGATATAGAAATAGAACACAAGATATGTCAACCCTTTGGCAACAAATTCTCATCCACATCACACCTTATGTCCTCTCCTCAAAACACCAGGGAAAAAAACCTTTTGCAGCCTGATCCAGCCCTGACAATCTCCTGCACTTATTTAAAGGGTCAAATATCCAGTCAGAGACTACATAAATAAATAAAGATAAATATTAACATACATAATAACGTTGTTAATGTTGAGATGTTACACTCGGTGGCATATTTTAGAAAAGATGTTTAATCAGAAAGAATAAATGAAAAATAAAAGGGGGGAGTTGGCTAACTTGTCCCAAGTGGGCCATGCAAGCTGCCTAAGGGACTTACTCCCCTGACTTACTCCTACACACAAGCACACCTATGGAGCGCACTGTACTATGCCACTTTATGATTCACAGAAAATGTGCCATAATGTGCCAAAGGAAAGTGCTTTTTTCACGGGAAGATAAATCGCTGAAAATATGGTACATGAAATGAATATTTCAACGAATATTGGATTGTTTCGGTGGATGTCCTTTAAAAGTGTCTAAAATGTTTTTTCTCTGCTGGCCCAGTGCACAGCAACACATATCTCTGCTAGTGTGCTGGTGTTTCCGGCCACCTCTCTTAACTGGCAGCACGCTGATCTGAATCAACATCAAGTAACACACCATTATGCATGACTATACAACCCCACATCACATAACCCGAACTATCCCTTTAAGTTGGGGCTAAACCCCAATGTTTACAATGTCTGGCTCCGCCTCTGCTATAGTAGATGACAGTAAAGGCCTTTGTATACCTGTAATTTTTTATAATTTGGTCTCTTTGAGCATTCTGGATTTGATTTCAATAACAGATGAATGATCAATTATCTCCAATCTCATGGTGCAACACAAAACTTGTGTTCATATTTATCTACTAAAACAGTTTTATAAATAAATGTCATTCTTAGATTAATAAAATAAATAAATAAACAAAACAAAAAAAAACATCTAAAAAACATACAAAACATTAAAAATGCCCCCAGATGAATACACACATATATATATACACATATACATGAGTAGGCTGAACGTACTTAGTAAGTGCACAGTTTCCCACAGGGATTAATAGAGTAAATCAGTTTCTTCACTGTATTTATCATGCAGTGAGGCCGTTCCATTGATCCAGTCCGCTGCTTGCCCACACTCTGCAATCACAGATCTATATGTCACACGCACGCAGTACCCCGGGCTCTGGTTATACTGCTGAGTAAATCCGTATGCTTTGTAATCTGCGAAACTGCACGCTCCAACAGACCAGCGGACCCTTTTTTTCCTTCTCTCATTCCAGACGAAGGGGCGGAAACGACACATTTTCAACACAAACCGCGACGTTATAACTGTATATCTGCAAGACAAAGCCAAACGTGTTTTATTTCGGTTCGGGTGGAACTTTTAAAACCGGTTGAATTGTAAGTCATTGTAAGGTGAGTTTAATTTTTGTCTCCCCTCCTCCCTCCAAAAGCGTCAAGTACCGTGAGGCGCTTCTCAAACGTGTTGTGTCGTTTGATTGTACATGAGTCTTAACGTTAGCTATCCTTATGTGCATATTTTCAATGGGGGCGTGAGAATCACATCCGCGCTTAGTTCGGAGACACGTCTCACATTCAGAGTGATCATCAACAATCATTATAACCGACAGGCATGTATGTTACATTAGTTGCTAACGAGAAAGCAATATGGAGGAGACACCAGCTAGCTGCAAACTGTGCGTCCCTTCGAGGCTTTGTCGTGCAGTGGTTTTTTTTTTCTTTTTGCAGCTAACGTTAGCAGTAAAAAAAAAAATCCCCCTAAATTGAGAATGCATGGTTGTTTTTTTACACTACGACAATGTATAGTAGGAGTATTATTAGCTCAGCATTTCCACACTGAATGTTTCATGCTTCTGAGCAGTCGCCAGGTGTTGCAAACCTCTTGTTGATGCTGGCAGTTTTAGACACGACCACAAACACCTTACAGTCTTGCCACCGCTGTGTTATCAACAATAATACTGAGGTGTCCACCTTGTGCAATTACCTTGTTGATGTTGACCTATAATATAGTCGGTGAGGGTCATATTTTCGCACTCCAGTCAAGACACGCTTGTAACACTTACACCTCCCGCCCCCCCCATGCAGAGATATAGAGTTTTCATGTCATAAGGTACATGGGTAACTTCAGGTAATGCAGATTAGGCAGTCTTTTGAAATAGAAACCCGTAATTGAGACAATATCAAAGCCGAAAAGATTAGTTCACTAATCAATTAGTCGATAAATTGAAAAATAATCAGAAAGTGATTTGTTGATTATTCATCTCAGTCATTTAACAAGCAAAAATTAATAAGTAGTGTCAAATATTCAGCGATTGCAGCCTCTCAGCTGAGAGGATTTCCTCTTTTTCTTAGTCAATTATAATTTTAAATTAAATATTTTTGGATATTTGGGCTGTAAGTCACACAAGACGGCTCTGGGATGCTCTAGGCATTTTTGACAATTCATAAAACGTCTCATAGACTGATCGATTAATCAGAAAAAAGAAATTGATAATGAAAGTAATCGTTAGTGCCAGTCCTAGACAAAATCTGCATACACATAATGGGCAATAAAGTAATGAAAACACATGGATTGCTGGTAATATGCATTGCCTCACATTGTCACCCTTGTATCTTTTCAATAAATCCCATTCTCCAATGCTGTTTTCTCCTCTCTACCACATTGATTCCCGCTTGCTTCCATCATGCAACAATCTTGACGTTGACCAGGAACCTGCTGGTCCCCAGGTCTACCTGATGAGTATGAGCCTGACTACAGAACCCTCTAACGATGGTCCCACTGTTACGGAAGGTTTTATATATCATTATTTTCTAAAATAAATTTCTCTGTATCACTTGTCCTTGTGCGTGTCAAGAGTCACGGAATGGATAAAGTAGTATATGTCAACTAAAGTGGCACTATGAATGTTTGTCATCCATTTGAAAGTGAACTCAGCAAAAGTGTTTTCCATTCATTTGTGAACCAGAGTAACATGTGTCCCGCACAAATGTGAACATCTTAAACTCTGCCACTGAATCATAACACCTGCAGGCAATAAGAGCTTTCAGTTTCAAGGCTCAGCAGTTGTTAAAAAGCAGGTGTCTCTAGGGACAGTGACAAGTGATCTGCCAATCACTCCTGTTTCTAACCCATCAGAGAGCAAAATGACAACAGCTGAGAAGAAGGACAAGAAGGCAGATGATGTTGCAGAGGAAGAGGAGGAGGAGGAAGAATATGTGGTGGAAAAGGTCCTGAATCGGCGGGTGGTGAAAGGGAGAGTAGAGTACCTTCTCAAGTGGAAAGGCTTCTCTGAGTGAGTGAATTTGGGGAGTTGTTGTAAATGTATTTTTAATTTTAAAAGTAAATAAATTCATGGGAAGTCCTGACATATTCTGGTTTACTTATGTCACATCATCCACTCCATCTTTTCTTCTCATTATCTTTTTTATTCAGTCCTCTAAATCAAAGATATTAATGTTATGACAAATAATAGAAAGAAATAGCTGCATATTTAACAGGTGACTAAATGTATGAATTAAATACATAAATACTGTATTTTTATGTACTGATATCTGCAGTGAAGATAACACGTGGGAGCCTGAAGATAACTTGGACTGTCCAGATTTGATTGCAGAATTTCTGCAGTCCCAAAAATCAGCGCACGATGGAAAGAGAAAGGCGGCCGGAGAAGCAGAAGGAGACGACAGTAAATCAAAGAAGAAAAAAGATGATGTAAGTTCCAATTCTTTGTTTTTGTTTGAGTCTGCAAATTTTAGTTTCTATTTATTTTATTTTATTTTTTTTTGGCACAGTTAAAGGGTTGAAGCGGGTTCATGTTCTGTGCAGAGAGCAGCATCAGTGTTGCTTATTTCCCTCGCAACTAAAACCATTGTGTCATAAACATAATAAATAATGCACTGGTGGGAAACAAATGGTGATATTAACTTGCAAAAAAAGTCAGGGTGTCATATTTAGTGTGATGAAATCATGCTGAATCACGTGTTAGTAGAATATTTATGAGAAGATGTTATGCTACAAGATCTCAAACCTGTTTTAATTTTGGCAGTGATTTTTAGATTTTTCATTACTGAGTTTGAAGTTATATAAAAAAGGAATAATCAATGAGTATTGCCAGGTACCATATTGTACTGAGGGTCCTGACACATCTAGTCTGCAAACTAAGAACCAGCAGAGACACAAACGCTCATTAATCACTTTGAAAGTTGCATTTGAACACACCACAAATACTACCCAGCTACCAACAACATGCCTTCATGCTTCACACCTGCGTGGGGACATAACTAGTCAGTAGTCTGTATTTTAATGTTTTGACACCACTATGAATCTGATTAAATAGCCTTCAGTAATAATATGTAATAATAAGTGTAATATGTAATAATGTCTAATAAAAAGTTGCACTGTTAAGTTTTGTTTAGTTTTTCTTTGCTTCGCTCTGCTGTCGTCACCCCATGAAAAGAAAAGAAACAAAAAAACAAAAAAAACAAATCTCTTTTTATCTACCCAACATGACATGAACATTTTCCTGCACAGAGCAGTTTAAAAAGTTGCCAGATAAAAATGGTAAAACACAAACCAGCCACGGTGAGATTGGGGTAGATGAAGAGTTGCAGGTGGCAGTTGTTTGTTATAGTTCAGGTCAACTTCAAATCTCATCAAACATCTTTTTGTTGTGGAAAACCGCTCCTGCAGTTCCCACAACACATTGATCACAGTTTCTCAAGGTTTTTCTGAACCACATGGAAATTCTGGTCTCCATTTCAGCAGGGCCTTACTTTGGGATCACTCGACCAGTTACAGACTCCCCTCCCTCCTCCACACTACACACGCCTCCGTGTGGTCACACAACTTTATAGGAAACTCTCAGGTTGAATCCAAATGTCCGGACTTCCCCGCACTCTCAGACTCATGTCCAGAAAGGCTGTGAATGCCCGAGGCTTTCCCAAATCCACAATTCATCAAGTCCACAAGAGGGCTCAAGTGGACTTTCTACAGACTGGCTTGAGGTCTAGACATCAATGAATGAATTACACACAGTTAATTGCCATTATAGATGTAGTGCCAACACAAGAGAACAACCGTATTTAACAGTAAAATATTATACAACTACAAATTATTTTGATCATTATTTAAGCAAAAATGTCAAAACATTTCCTGGTCCCAGCTTCTCAGATTTGATGGTTTTCTTTGTCTTATATGATACTACACTGAATGTCTTTTGGTTCTGGACAGCTGGTCGGACAAAACAATATATTTTCAAGACATCACTTTGGGTTGTGAGAACTTATAACAGGCATTTCTCACAATTTTCAACGTTTTAATGACAACCAATGAGAGAAAATAATCAGCAGCTTTATCGATAATGAAAATAATTGTTACCAAAAGGGATGCATTAAAAATCATTTAAAAAAAAAAACACACTTAACACACTGCAGCTTAAGAGGACAGAAACATAGACAAAAACAAGAATAAAACATTTATCTCTTTGACAACATGTAGGCAGCATTTAGAAAATAACTGCACAGAAATAAAAGGCAGATGCCAGTTCAAACTCTTATGCCTGAAGTCTGCCAGTGCACAAACGATGGGCATTTGGATTCAGTTTCAACATATGCAAAAAGGCAGGACATTCTTTTTATGTTCATCAGCATTTGGATCTCATAGATTTCTACAGACAGCTACACACATCCTTCAACATTCATGTCCCAAATATTTTCTTTTACAGCAGCTTCCCCCCAAAGCCCCAAGCAAATGTGGCATTCCTCAGTTTGTTTTAAATTCCGCTCCCAGCCATAAAAATACAGCAACCGTGACATACTGTAGGTCGTTTGTATTTATGCAAAAATGTTGTTTTGCGATTGACTGCAGTTCTTATTTTGTTCTTTGATCCTCAGACAGAGAAGCTAAGGGGCTTTGCTCGAGGTCTGGATCCAGAGAGGATTATTGGTGCCACAGATTCCACAGGAGAACTCATGTTCCTCATGAAATGGTTTGTGCGCAGTGTATAGCACTGTTAACTACTGAAACTATAACACCAGTGGCTGAATAACGCCGCTTTTTGTTGTTTGTCCAGGAAAAACTCTGACGAAGCTGACCTGGTGCCGGCGAAGGAGGCCAACGTAAAGTGTCCGCAGGTGGTCATCTCATTCTATGAAGAAAGACTGACTTGGCACTCGTATCCCACAGAGGACGAGAAAAAGGACGAAAAGAACTAACACAGGGCGAAGGGGCAAAGAAAGAAAACTGTAGTTTTGAACTTCATTGTATTTGGAGGGGGTGGGGGTATGAGGGGCGGAGACAAGCAAGACACCATTGGACTCCCATTTGTCTGTTGGTGTAGTATCACTCATTTGATTCTACTTTTATCTGGATATAATCTAAATGTATATATGCTTCAGGTTTGCTTGACAAAACCCTGTCCATTTGAACTGTAAAACAGTGTTAATTTTCAGTATCATTCCAGTTTGAAGAGTCGCCTGACTGTTTCTAACATGCGGTCCAGTGCTCCGTCATCTTACTATGACATCGTATCAGTGAGGTGATGTTTTTATTTCATCCGTGTGCCATTTTCCTTTTTGCCTGGTTCATTGGTGCTTTTGACGGGCAAAACAAAATTTTAGCTGTTTACTTAGGACTCGTTTGGTGTACGATCATGAAGTCTTTTCAGTGATTAATTTGGTCACTGTTAATCTTTGTAGTGTTTTTCATTATCATGTCTTGCTTGTCAGTTTTGGAAAATAAACCACTTTTTGTTACCGTGCTGTTTCATGGTGGTGTCGCTCTTAAAATAACATGATTATTACTAGTAGGGCTGCAACTGAGAGATTAATCTCTCAGTCGTTTTGCTCATCCCAGTGGCTGAGACTTTATCAAATGTCTTGTTTTGTTCTACCGACAGTCAAAAAACTTAAATATTAAACTTACTCTCATGCAACACAAGGATAAGGAACACATTTTCACATTTGAGAACCTGGAAACAGCAAATGTTTGGTATTTCTTGCTTAAGAAATTACTTGAACAGTTGTTGCTGATTTTTCTTCTGTCAATCATCTAACTGAATAATTGGCTAATTGTTGCAGCTCTATTTACCCAGTTTTGCTTATTCATGACCCTGAGGCTTTTTGTGTCATCGGATATACTTTGCAGATTAAAACTCCACAAAAATCTGAAACATGGACCGATGTTAAACCACTAAGTTGTCTGGACCGAGCCCGTGTCGTACAGTACGACATGAACCATTCATGACAACTAGAACACAAGAGTCACAGGTGAAAATAAAAACACTTTATTAATCAATAAAAACAATTCTTGATTGCCAGCAAATATCTCAAAACAGGGAACTACATCCAAACTCAAAGCAGTGGGTGAGACTGTTATGGAGACATTTGACAAACTTCATAAATCATGACAAACACAAAACATGAAAATATTTACATAACAAGACAGACAAAAAAAAGTGCACTAAGTAGTAGCAGTACTAAATAGTTGGTGTTGCACTGGGTTACACTGAAGTGAATGTTAACCAGAGTTTCATGCCTGAAGATCACATGTAATGAGGACATTTCTCCTTTCAAAAACAAGTTTTTTTGGACATCATAATGTTGCGAGTTCTGTTCAGCCTCTTGTAAATATTCTAGCCTAACTGCTATCTCAGCTGCAACAACTGACCTATTTTTGTTTTTTAAATTTTTTTTAATTTTTTACAGAGGGTGATGTAACACATGTACTGACGAACTTCATTCAAATAGACAAGTAATAGCACTTCTACTTTGAGAACATTTTTCTTCAGTTCTCAAAACCTTTTTAAAGTGAAGATAATGATATCGTGAAATAAAGGCATTCAAATCAAAGTGGCCACAACACACACCATCAGTTCACGCATCCAAGTAACTTTTATCTCATGTAACAACTCGGCTCACTTTGTTATCAACACAAAAACTTAAAAACATAGGACTCATAATAATTTAAGCCAAACAACTCGGCTTTACAGCAGTTTAAAAAAAATCGCCTCAAGTGGCTTTCAATTGGGTAGCGTTGGCAAATAAGTTACTTAAAAGGGATATCGCTACACCACAGCGACAACTGAGCCTGTTTCAAGTTAATGCTTAAAACGGGGCATCCAAGAGGAGAAAGAAAACCAACAGATAATCCATAGCTTTGATCTGTAACAGCCTGGAGTCGGTGGTAATCGTACAGTACTCTCTGGAGCTCCGGGCTCATCACAATTTCTTTAAATTCTCTTGTGATTACAGGCTTTCAAAAATCAACAAAGAGGGTGTAGACTTTTAATGTAAAGCTGATGTGGCTAGACCTATAACCTTGCTTATACTACAGATTATGAACAGTTAATAAGAGCCTCTCCTTAACGCAGCTCCCGTATTTAAACCTGCAGCGAAGGAATAGCGACAGACACGGCAAAATGCATATAGCCAAGCCTTTTAAAGACAAATTACAGTGCTATGTATAATTTATAAGGAAGCTGATACATTTTGCAATGCAGTGTGCCTCCTCCCTAAAAAACATCCATCTCCTCCTCTCACAGGACTTCACCTCCAGGCCTCTTTTTAGCAGCGGCCGACCCGGGAACACAACAGCCTCTGACTCGTTCTCATCTCAACATCCTCCTCCTTCCTCCTCCTTCATCAAACCCAATCTCTTCAGGGCCTTCTGAACTTAGATGCCACTCACAAACTGCCTCAAAAACTGGGAATTTGTTACACAAACCTACAGAATCAGAGTGCAGTGTTTGAGCATTTAAGATGTATTCAGATTGAGTGAGGTGCACCATACAACCTTTGGTTAGTATCGGTGTTAATGGCATCCTAAAATGATGGACTTCCTTTAACCTTTGGTATCTAAACTCTCACAACCATCGACGCTGTTCTTTGCCTGAAGATTTGCAACTTAAAAGCTTCAGTGACTATGAAAATCACTAAAAGTCTCCAGGGTGGGATGTGAGCTGATAGTCCTTTAAAACCTTCAGTGCATAGGTATTCCAACCATCCTTGTTGACAGTGTTCTTTTACTCCCACTTTTCTCGGTACCAGTCCCTTCTTTTACCCTACAAATCTCCATCCTCAGTGGTTTGGTGCAAAAGGATCAAGAGCAGCTAAAATTTTTCTAATAGCTCTTTTTATGTCCTTTTATATCCCTCTTCTCCTCCTCGCTTATTGTTTTCCCCCCGTCTAAATAATGAAATATCAGTACTCAAACGAAGAGCTACTTCTGCTTCGAAGTTTTTCCAGGAAAAAACATGTAGGAACAGAATGAAAAGGGAGAAACTAATGCAGGAAGAGTAGTCAACAATGCCACTTTTCTACTCACCAGAATCTTCTTAAAGGAAAAAAGGACATTTCTCTTGCATTTGCAGAAATCTTTCTTATTGATTTAGCAAAGTGACAGAATAAACAGCAGTTTGTCCCCCTCACTTCTTTTTGTCTTTCTGTTTTTTCTCGGGCTTACGGTTCTGCTCAGCAGTCGTCATGCCGCGGGGCATGATCAGCACGCTGCCGTCAGCGCTGTACTGGAGCGAGTACTCGCTGGGAGGATAGGGCCGGCCCTCCTCGTCCCGTAGCTGAGTGAACACCTCTTGGTACAGACTCTGCATTTTCTGCTTCATCTGCCGGATGGAGCGGATAAACTCCATCTTCTCCTTGAGCAGCCGGGCCTTGTCGCGCCTCAGGTCTTGGACGCCCTGCTCCAGGTTTATGATGGTGTCCAGCTTGCGCTTGCGGCAGTTCTGCGCCGCCATCTTGTTCTTGCCACGCCGGCGGATGTCGCGGATGAGGGCCAGCTGGGCTTCACTCAGGTGATGCTTGGCTAGAAGCTCGTTGAACTCTTCTACAGGCAGGTTGATGATCTTGTCGTTGGAGAAGGGGATTTTCATGGCCCGGGCTCGGCGTTCATCGCGACTGGAGTGCTTGTCGAGCAAGTCCTGAGCAGGCTGAAGCTTTGAGCTCTGTTTGTCACGTACAGTTTTCTTCCCAGTTGAAATGGGGAGCTCTGGGTGCTCAGTGAACGTAGAGGAAAGCGGCAGGTTGTAAGTATGATTGTGGCTGATGCTGTCAAGCTGAGGGAGGCTGTGGAACTGGGAGGGGTCCTGATAGCTCATACGGCAGAGCTTACTGTATCCGGGCTGATAACCCCCAACAGCACCTTCCTCTGGCTCCACAGTAGCTACCTCAGAGTCAGTGCTGTATCCCACAGCTCCTTCCTCTGAGAAGGTGGCAGATGTTGAGGAGGAAGAAGCTGCAGAGGAACAAGATGTCTCAGAGCTGCTCGGCGAGGCCGGGCTGTGGCTGGAGTCCAGGGAAAGACCAGAATCTGAGTCAAGCTCATCCTCCAACTGGGACGCTTGGGCCTGGCTGAAGCCCTCCTCCATGGCAAGGTCCAGCAAGCTGATCTCATCCAGCATGGACTCCTCCAGCAAGGTGCTGAATGGATCAGGCAGGATAGGTGTGGATGTGATGTTGCTGCTGGAGCTGTTAATGTGAGGTGGGAGAAAGATCCCAGTCAGGTTAGTAGCTCCAAATGTGGAGTTGATGTTGGAGGAGTTGCTGGAGGAAAGTCTGAGCATGGTGGTTCTTGGGGTGATGCTAACAGAGTCCAACTGCGGGCTGAAAATCTGGGGGAAGTCTTGGCTGCAGCTGGGGAGGGAGGCCTGGTGAAGACTGACATCCTGGTTTATCGGTGTTGAGCGAGTAGAAAGTCCAAAGTTTCCCGCAGTGCTGGACTCGGTTGTCTCACTTGTGCCACTAACACTGCTGGAGTTGGTGGGGAGCGAAGTGCTGTTCACTTCCATTGCCTTCGAACAGGAAGATTTTGTTAAGGGAAATCTTCATATATTTCTCAAATTATAAGGCACATTTTTGTGCAAAATAATTATGAGACAAATCGCTATTTTCCTTTTCTTTAAAAGGCTAAATTATTTGACTCATTAAAGTGGCCATTTTTTCATACTTCCATAACAGCTTTTACCCTAAAATGAAAGACTTTTCATAGTGATTTTTATTGCTATTCTAAAAACACTTGACGCTTTTGTTTTGGATCTAATTTTGTCAGTTTTCACATAAGAACTACTATCAAGAGGATGAAAAATTACATCTCAAGATTTGAAGATGCTGAATTTTAAAAAGAAGGGACATACTTGTAGCTCCATGATGGCCATGATGTCTTGCCACTGCTGCTCCAGGTCTAACTGAGGCTCTGCTGCGGGCAGCTGTGGTGCCAGAGGGAGGCCCTGAGATGTAGAAGGAACTTCTTCATTGGAAACTGCTATTTCTGGGGTGACGACTGGAGCTGGAAACTGATTGAAAACGTTAAACACATTAATAAAAACACTGATAATTTTACTGTAGTTTTTCCACATCAAATAATATAGTAATAGGTTATTATGCTCTTACCTCAGATTCTTCTCCAAAAGGGAAAGTGGCCTCCAACAGCCTCAAACATTCTTGTAGAGACAGTGAAGTCTGTGAGCCAAGACCTGGGAGCTGGGTAACGACAGAAAAGTGGTGTATTAGTATTATATGAAGTACTGATTCTTTTAAGGTGCTTTCACACCTGCTCATTAGATACATCGTTGTGTTTTAATTAATGTCTGGTTTATGGTCACACTGACTTTTTACAAAGGAACCAAGAGTTGGAAGCATGAAGTCATATGGACTGACAGGTAACTCTTTTCTTTTTAAATACAACCTAACGAAAGGAAACACAGACACATACATAAGACAAAATGAAAACAGAACAAAATGCTC